ATATAAGGTGTGCGTCAACTATATTGTATAGTAAAGGGCATACGATATGACCAAATAAAGTAACGTTTATAGTGAGTAATGTATAAAAATTACCTAGATCAAACAAAAAATCACGTCTATGGATTAACTAGGTTTACTACCTGTAGTTCTACACCTAAATGCGATTCTATAGAATCTATACTATTAATTGAATACAAACAACTCACACATAGCAATGCTATACGTTAATCACAAATGCATCAAAGAATTCAAATGTTTCAATGCTATTGTTTGGATGTTTTAAACATTGCAAGAGATGTTCTAGCAATATTATATTTCAATTGTCAAATTTGCTTAGAATTCGCATCTTTTCCTCCATCCATTTCTCAGTCAAATCCCATAGATTTGCATCCGCATTGCCATAGACTTAGCGTTACCCATGTTAACTCTATGTCACAGACTTAGCATTACCCGTAGAATTAGCATTGCCCTAGTCCTATACTTGCAATAAAAAAATACAGCAATAGTTCACAGTCATTTTTTAATTGAAATTTGCACTGACCAAATTGTGAGTGTACATTTTGCCCATTCAAACCCTAGCCAAACGATCCTATAAACCACATTCTTCATAAATGAATTGTGGTTAAAAACTTAATAGACTGACCAATACATTAGATATGAACTATTGTAGATATAATGTATTTTATTTAATAATTAATCGCTCATTTTAAATGTGGAGAAACCAGTATAAAGTATAGTTAGGGTAAAATTTCTCTACGTTTTCAATGTTTAGAATAAGTTTTAAATCACATTTTAATTTAAATGAAAAATTAATTTAAATAATTGTCGTTTCATTGTATTATAAGTTATCTAAGATAATAGAATTTGAAACTATGATATAGTCTTTAGTGATTATATTGACAAATAAATTGAGATAAATGACAAGTTCTTCAAATAATACCAATCGTTATATAATATATGATAATATAGTTTGCGTTCATTAGATAATGAAATGCATTAGGGGTTCAAAAGTGTCTATCGATATAATGGTTCATATTTACGACACTTTCCTTATATCACAAATTTTATATAAAATCCTTGAAATTATATGAATTGAATTAATATAATTGCTCTTCACATCAAATCGTACAACGATTTCTGTATAATAAGCTCCATATAAAGCA